ACCATATTTGTTTGTTGTGGCACTGTGTTGTTGTTAATGGGACTGTGTTGTTTGTTGTGGGACTGTATTTGTTTGTTGTACCCACCATATTTGTTACCTGATGGCGGACTGTGTTGTTTGTTACAGCCAGCACTGTGTTGTTTGTTGTGTACTGTGTTGTTTGTTGTATGCTTTCATATTTGTTTTGTTGCTGGCTTTTCTGTGTTGTTGTTGTAGCACTGTGTTGTTTTATTTACTGGCACTGTGTTGTTTTATTTAATAGCACTGTGTTGTTTGTTGTGGGACTGTGTTGTTTGTTTTGTTAGCACTATGTTTGTTTGTTGTAACTTTTTGCATTGTTTGTTAATGCTTTTCCATGTTGTTTTGTTGTAACTTTTGTATGTTGTTGTTAATAGCACTTTTTATGTTGTTTTGTTGTGGCACTGTGTTTGTTTTAATTGTAGCACTGTGTTGTTTTGTTAATGGCACTGTATGTTGTTGTTGTGGCACTGTGTTGTTTATTTAATAGCACCATATTGTTTGTTGTAGCACACTATGTTGTTTGTTGTAGCACTGTGTTGTTTTGTTGTAGCACCATATTTGTTTTGTTGTGGCACTGTGTTGTTTATTGTAACCATATTTGTTTTGTTGTAGCACTGTGTTTGTTTGTTGTAGCACTGTATTTATTTTTGTTGTGGCTTTCATATTTGTTTTGTTGTAGCACTATGTTGTTTGTTGTAGCACCATGTTGTTTGTTATTTTACCATATTTATTTATTGTAGCACTGTATTTGTTTATTTGTGCCACTGTGTTGTTTGTTGTAGCACCATGTTGTTGTTTTGTTGTGGCACTGTATTTGTTTGTTGTATTTTATGTTGTTTTGTTTGTAGCACTGTGTTGTTTGTTTAATGGCACTGTGTTGTTTGTTGTGGCACCATGTTGTTTGTTGCTATTAGCACTGTATTTGTTGTTATGGCACCATGTTGTTTGTTGTGTGTTGTTTGTTGTAGCACTGTGTTGTTTGTTGTGGCACCATATTGTTGTTGTTGTGGCACCATGTTGTTTGTTAATGGCACCATATTTGTTTTGTTAACTTTCTATATTTATTTTATTTGTAGCACTGTGTTGTTTGTTGTAGCACCATGTTGTTTTGTTGTAGCACTGTGTTGTTCATTGTGGCACTGTGTTGTTTGTTGTGTACCATGTTACCTGTTGTGGCACTGTGTTGTTTGTTGTGGCACCATGTTGTTGTTGTGGCACTGTGTTGTTTGTTGTAGCACTGTGAAATTGTTTGTTGTAGCACCATGTTGTTTTGTTGTGGCACTGTGTTGTTGTTGTTGTGGCACCATATTTTTTTGTTGTGGCACTGTGATTTGTTTTGTTGTAACTTTCCATATTTGTTTGTTGTGGCACTGTATTTGTTTGTTGTGGCACCATGTTTGTTGTGGCACTGTATTTATTTCTGTTGTGGCTTTTCATGTTGTTTGTTGTGGCACCATGTTGTTTCTGTTGTAGCACTGTGTTGTTTGTTTGTGGCACCATGTTATTTTGTTATGGCACTGTGTTGTTGTTGTGGCACCATATTTGTTTGTTGTGGCACTGTGTTGTTTGTTGTGGCACTGTGTTGTTGTTGTGGCACCATGTTGTTTGTTGTTGTGGCACTGTGTTGTTTGTTAATGCCACCATGTTGTTTGTTGTAGGACTGTATTTGTTGTTGTGGCACTGTGTTGTTTGTTGTGCTTACCATGTTGTTGTTATGCTTTTTTCATATTGTTTTGTTGTGGCACTGTATTTGTTTGTTGTAGCACTGTATTGTTTGTGGCACCATGTTGTTTGTTGTGCCACCATGTTGTTTCATTGTGGGACTGTGTTGTTTTTACATTTGTGGCACCTGTGTTGTTTGTTGTGGCACCATGTTGTTTGTTGTGTGGCACCATGTTGTTTGTTGTGCCACCATGTTGTTATTTATTAGGACTGTGTTGTTTTGTTGTGCTTTTTTATGTTTGTTTGTTGTGCGCACCATGTTGTTGTTGTTGTTGTGGCACCATGTTGTTTATTTGTAGCACTGTGTTATGTTTGGCAGCACTGTATTTGTTTGTTTGTGTACCATATTGTTTTTGTTGTGGCACCATATTTGTTTGTTTATTAGCACCATATTTGTTTTGTTTGTGGCACTGTGTTGTTTGTTCTTATTTCCAGTTGTTTGTTGTAGCACTGTGTTGTTTGTTGTGGCACTGTGTTGTTTGTTGTGCTGTGTTGTTTATTTAACACTGTGTTTGTTTGTTAATACTATGTTGTTTGTTGTAGCACTGTGTTGTTGTTTGTTGTAGCACTGTATTTGTTGTTGGCACCATATTTGTTTGTTAATAGCACTGTATTTATTTGATTTTGTAGCACTGTATTTGTTTTACTTTACTTTTCTATATTTGTTTATTTGTAGCACCATGTTATTGTTAGCCTTTTGTATTTGTTTATTTGTAGCACTATGTTGTTGTTATGCTTTTCTTGTTGTTTATTTGTACTGTATTTGTTTTGTTATGTACTGTGTTGACTACTGTTGTAGCACCATGTTGTTTGTTGTGGCACTGTGTTGTTTGTTGTGCCACCATGTTGATTTGTTGTGGCACCATATTTGTTTGTTGTAGCACTGTGTTGTTTGTTGTGGCACTGTATTGTTTGTTTTGTTTGTGGCACTGTGTTGTTTTGTTGTAGCACTGTGTTGTTGTTTTGTTGTGTACTATGTTGTTTGTTGTGGCACTGTGTTGTTTGTTGTGGCACCATGTTGTTTGTTGTGGCACTGTGTTGTTTGTTAGCCTTTTCACTGTTGTTTGTTGTTGTAGCACTGTATTTGTTGTGGCACCATGTTGTTTGTTGTGGCTTTTCTGTGTTGTTTATTTGTGGCACCTGTGTTGTTTATTTGTAGCTTTTATGTTGTTTGTTGTAGCACCATATTGTTTGTTGTAGCACTGTGTTGTTTGTTGTGGCACTGTGTTGTTTATTTGTATGCTTTCTATGTTTGTTTATTGTGCTTTTTCTGTTGTTTGTTGTAGCACCATGTTGTTTGTTCATGGCACCATGTTGTTTTGTTATGGCACTGTGTTGTTTTGTTGTAGCACTGTATTTGTTTGTTGTTAGCACCATGTTGTTTGTTGCCACCATATTGTTGTTAATAGCACCATGTTTGTTTTGTTGTGGCACTGTATTTGTTTTATTGTAGCATAATATTTATTTTATTTGTAGCACCATGTTGTTGGCTGGCACTGTGTTGTTTGGTGTGGCACCATGTTGTTTTGTTGTGGGACTGTGTTGTTTTGTTGTGGCACTGTGTTGTTTGTTGTGGCACTGTGTTGTTTATTGTAGCACTATGTTGTTTTGTTGTGGCACTGTATTTGTTGTTGTGGCACCATGTTGTTTTTGTTGTGGCACTGTATTTGTTGTTAATGGCACTGTATTTGTTGTTTGTTGTGGCACCATGTTTATTTATTTGCGGCACCATGTTGTTGTTGTGGCACCATGTTGTTTGTTGCGCACCATGTTGTTGTTTTTTGTTGTGGCACCATGTTGTTTGTTGTGGCTTTTTCATGTTGTTTGTTGGCGGCACCATGTTGTTTGTTGTGGCACCATGTTGTTTGTTGTGGCACCATGTTGTTTGTTGTGCCACCATGTTTGTTTGTTTGTGGCACCATATTGTTGTTGTTTGTTGTGGCACTGTGTTGTTCATTGTGTACCATATTTACATTTGTTGTGGCACCATGTTGATTGTTGTGGCACCATGTTGTTGTTTGTGGCACCATGTTGTTTGTTGTGGCACCATATTTGTTTGTTGTAGCACCATATTTGTTTGTTGCGCCACCATGTTGTTTGTTGTGGCACCATGTTGTTGTTGCGCTTTATGTTGTTTGTTGTACCATGTTGTTTGTTTGTGGCACCATATTTGTTTGTTCAGCGGCTTTCCCATATTTGTTTTTAATTTGTGCCACCATATTTGTTTGTTGTGCCTATGTTGTTTATTTGTGGCACCATGTTGTTAATGGCGCGCTGTGTTGTTTGTGGCACCATGTTTGATTTGTTGCGGCACCATGTTGTTGTTGCGCCACCATGTTGTTTTGTTGTGACACTGTGTTGTTTGATCGTAGCTTATGTTGTTTTGTTGTGGCACCGCGTGTTGTTGTTGTGGCACCATCTTTGTTTGTTGTGGCACCACCATGTTGTTTTGTTGTGGCACCATGTTGTTTTGTTGTGGCACCATGTTGTTTGTTGTGGCACCATATTGTTGTTTTGTTGTGGCACCATGTTGTTGTTGTGGCACTGTGTTTTGTTTGTGGCACCATGTTGTTTGTTAATGGCTCCATGTTGTTTTGGTAATGGCACCATATTTGTTTGTTGTGGCACTGTGGTATTTGATGTGCCTGTCTTGTTTGTTGTGGCACCGCATGTTGTTTTATTGTGGCACATCATGTGTTGTTTGTTGTTGTGGCACCATGTTGTTTGTTGTATTTCCATATTTGTTCCATTTATTGGCACTGTATTTGTTTTGTTGTAGGACTGTGTATTTGTTTGTTGTGTACTGTGTTGTTTGTTTGTGGCACCATATTTGTTTTGTTGTGGCATATGTTGTTTGTTATTGCCACCATGTTGTTTTATTGTCAGCACCATATGTTGTTTGTTGTGCTTTCCATATTTTCATTGTGGCGCTTTCCATGTTGTTTGTTGTGGCACTGTATGTTGTTTGTTGTGGCACCATGTTGTTTGTTGTGGCACCATGTTGTTTGTTGTGGCACTATGTTGTTTGTTAATGGCACCATGTTGTTTGTTTGTGTTTCTGTTGTTTTGTTGTGGCACCATGTTGTTTGTTGTGGCACCATGTTGTTTGTTTGCGGCACCATGTTGTTGTTGTTTGTTGTGGCACCATATTTGTTTGTTAATGGCACTGTAATTTGTTTATTTTGTGTACCATGTTGTTTTGTTTAATGGCACCATATTTGTTTGTTTGTGGCACCATATTTGTTTGTTGTACTTACCATGTTGTTCATTGTGGCACCATGTTGTTTGTTGAGGCTTTTTAATGTTGTTTGTTGTGGCACTGTGTTGTTTGTTGTGCCCTCTATGTTGTTTGTTGTGGCACCATGTTGTTTGTTGTGCCACCATGTTGTTTTATTGTGGCACCATATTTGTTTGTTTGGCTTGTTGTTTTTGTTGTATGGCTGTGTTGTTTGTTGTGGCACTGCTAATTTGTTTGTTGTAGCACTGTATTTGTTTGTTGTACCCATATTTGTTTGTTGTGCTGCCACCATGTTATTTGTTTTGTTTGTACCCACCATGTTACTGTTGTGGCACCATATTTGACTGTTGTAGCACTTTGTGTTGTTTGTTGTGGCACCATGTTGTTTGTTGTGGCACCATGTTGTTTTGTTGTGGCACTGTATTGTTTGTTGTGGCACTGTGTTGTTTGTTGTAGCCACTGTGTTTGTTTTGTTTGTGCTGTATTTGTTTGTTATGGCACCATGTTGTTTTGTTGTGGCACCATATTCATTGTGGCACTGTATTTGTTTGTTGTAGCACCATATTTGTTTGTTGTGGCATAATGTTGGCGTTTATTTAATAGCACCATATTTGTTTGTTGTAGCACCATGTTGTTTTGTTGTGCTTTCCATATTTGTTTGTTGTACCACCATGGCCCATTTTGTTGTAGCACCATGTTGTTTTTGTTGTGGCACCGTGTTGTTTGTTGTGCTTTCCATGTTGTTTTGTTGTGGCACCATGTTTGTTTGTTAATGCCACCATGTTGTTTGTTGTGCCACCATGTTGTTTGTTGTACCCTGTTGTTTGTTGTGGCTTTTTCCTACATGTTTGTTTGTTGTGGGACTGTGTTGTTTGTTGTGGCACTGTGTTGTTTGTTGTGGCACTGTGTTGTTTGTTGTGGCACCGTGTTGTTTGTTGTGGCACCGTGTTGTTGTTGTGCTTTCCATGTTGTTTATTTGGCAGCATATATTTGTTTATTTGTGGCACTATGTTGTTTGTTAATGGCACTGTGTTGTTTGTTGTGCTTTTCATGTTTATTTGTTGTAGCACTGTATTGTTGTTTATTTGTAGCACTGTGTTGTTTGTTGTGGCACTGTATTTGTTTGTTGTTGCTGTGTTGTTTTGTTGTGGCACTGTGTTGTTTGTTGTAGCACTGTTTGTTTGTGGCACTGTGTTGTTTTGTTGTGGCACCTGTGTTGTTTGTTGTGCTCATATTTGTTTTGTTGTAGCCATATTTGTTTGTTGTGGCACCATGTTGTTTTGTTGTGGCATGTTGTTTTTGTTGTGGCACTGTGTTGTTTGTTGTGGCACTGTGTTGTTGTTGTGGCACCATATTTGTTTGTTGTAGCACCATGTTGTTTGTTAGTAGCACCATATTTGTTTGTTGTAGCACTGTGTTGTTTGTTGCTTCTTTTCATATTTGTTGTTGTAGCACTGTGTTGTTTGTTACATGGCACTGTATTTGTTTTGTTGTAGCACTGTGTTGTTTCGGCCAATAGCACTGTGTTGTTTGTTGTGCTTTGGTTGTTTTGTTGTAGCACTGTGTTGTTTGTTGTGGCACTGTGTTGTTTATTTGTGGCACCATATTTGTTTGTTATGGCACCATATTTGTTTTGTTGTAGCTTTTCTATGTTGTTTATTTGTAGCACTGTATTTGTTTGTTGTACTGTGATATTTGTTTTATTTGTAGCACTGTGTTGTTTGTTGTGCTTTACCGTGTTGTTTGTTAACTGCTTCCATATTTGTTTGTTGTAGCACCATATTTGTTTGTTGTGGCACATGTTGTTTGTTAGTAGCTTTCACATATTTATTTGTTGTGGCACCATGTTGTTTTGTTGTGGCACTGTGTGTTGTTTGTTGTGGCACCATATTTGTTTATTGTGGCACTGTGTTGTTTGTTGTGGCACTGTGTTGTTTGTTGTGGCACCATGTTGTTGTTTTGTTGTGGCACTGTGTTGTTTTATTTGTGGCACTGTATTTGTTTGTTGTATATGTATTTGTCATATTTAATGGCACCGCCTGTTGTTTGTTGTAGCTTTTTCCATGTTGTTGTTATTAGCACTATGTTGTTGTTTGTTGTAGCACTATGTTGTTGTTATGGCACTGTGTGTTGTTTTTGTTGTAGCACTTTCTATGTTGTTTATTCCTTGGCACTGTATTTGTTTGTAGCACTATGTTTGTTTATTTATTAGCACTGTATTTGTTTGTTGTAGCACTGTGTTGTTTATTTGTAGCACTTTTCTGTATTTATTTGTTTAGCACCATGTTGTTTTGTTGTGGCACCATGTTGTTTGTTGCTGGCACCATGTTGTTGTTGTGGCACCATGTTGTTTGTTTGTGGCACCATGTTGTTTGTTGTGGCACTGTGGTTATTTGTTTGTGGCGCATATTTGTTTTGTTGTGGCACTGTATGTGTTGTTGTGGCACTGTATTGTTTGTTTGGCACTGTTTATTTGTTGTAGCACTGCTATGTTGGGCTGTTGTGGCACTGTGTTGTTTGTTGTGGCACTGTGTTGTTTTTATTTGTAAGCACTGTGTTGTTTATTTGTAGCACTGTGATTGTTTTGTTATTTACTGTATTTATTTGTTGTAGCACTGTGTTGTTGTTTGTTGTAGGCACTGTATTTGTTTGTTGTTGTGGCACTGTGTTGTTTTGTTGTGGCACTGTATTTGTTTATTGTGGCACACTATGTTGTTTATTTAATGGCACTGTATTTGTTGTTATGGCACTGTGTTGTTTGTTAATGGCACTGTGTTGTTTGTTATGCTTTCATATTTATTTGTTGTGGCACCATGTTGTTTGTTGTAACTGTATTTGTTTGTTGTAGCTTTTTTCCAATATTGTTGTTGTTTGTTATGTGCTTTCTATATTTATTTTGTTAATGGCTTTTTCATGTTGTTGTTGTAAGCACTATGTTGTTTGTTGTAGCACTGTATTTGTTGTTGTGTGGCACTGTATTTATTTTGTTGTGGCACTGTATTTGTTTGTTGTGGCACTGTGTTGTTTGTTGTAGCACCATGTTGTTTGTTGGCAGCACTGCTTGTTGTTTTTGTTGTGGCACTGTATTTGTTTGTTGTAGCACCATGTTGTTTTTGTGTGCTGTGTTTGTTTTGTTGTAGCACCATGTTGTTTGTTGTGGCACTGTGTTGTTTTATTTGTGGCACTGTATGTTGTTTGTTGTAGCATAATATTTGTTTGTTGTAGCACTGTATTTATTTTGTTATGTACCTGTATTTATTTTGTTGTGCTTTTCCTGTTTATTTACTATTGTACTTGCTGTGTTGTTTATTTGTGCTTTTCTTGTTGTTTTGTTGTAGCACTGTATTTGTTTTGTTGTGGCTTTCCATATTTGTTGTTGTGGCACTATGTTGTTTGTTGTGCTTTATGTTGTTTTGTTGTAACTTATGTTGTTGTTTATTGTGGCACTGTATTTGTTTGTTGTAGCATGTTGTTTTTGTTGTGGCACTGTGTTTGATTTTGTTGTGGCACTATGTTGTTGTTGCCTTGTGGCACTGTATTTGTTTCTATTTTGCTTAATGTTGTTTATTTGTATACCATGTTTATTTTATTGTAGCACTGTATTTGTTTGTTGTAGCACTGTATTTGTTTGTTAATGGCACCATGTTGTTTGTTGTGGCACTGTGTTGTTTTGTTGTGGCACCATCATTGTTTGTTGTGGCACTGTATTTTGTTATTAGCACTGTATTTGTTTTGTTGTAGCACTGTATTTGTTTCTGTTGTAACTTTTCCATGTTGTTTGTTGTGGCACTGTATTTGTTTTGTTGGCTAGCACTGTGTTGTTTGTTGTAGCACTGTGTTGTTTGTTGTGGCACTGTGTTTGTTTGTTTGTAGCACCATGTTGTTGTTTTGTTGTGGCACCATGTTGTTTGTTGTAGCACTGTGTTGTTTTGTTGCTTGTGGCACCATGTTGTTTGTTAATGGCACTGTGTTGTTTTGTTGGCAGCACTATATGTTGTTTATTTAGCCTTTTCCAGCCATTTGTTTTGTTTGTAGCTGTATTTGTTTTATTTGTGGCACTGTGTTGTTTGTTGTGGCACTGTATTTGTTTTGTTTGTAGCACTATGTTGTTTATTTGTAGCACTGTATTTGTTTGTTATGTGCTTGCACTTTATGTTGTTTATTTGTGGCCCTGTGTTGTTTGTTTTCAATTGTGGCTTTTCCATGTTGTTGTTGTTATTGGCACTGTATTTGTTTTGTTGTAGCACTGTGTTGTTTTGTTGTAGCACTATGTTGTTTCTGTTGTAGCACTGTATGTTATTTTGTTGGCACTGTATTTGTTTGTTGTAGCACTGTGTTGTTCTGTTGTAACATATTTATTTGTGGCACCATATTTGTTCTGTTGTAGCACTATGTTGTTTGTTGTAGCACTGTATTTATTTATTGTAGCACTGTATTTATTTTATTTAGCCTTTTCATGTTATTTTCATTATGCTTTTCTATGTTTATTTGTTGTAGCACTGTATTTGTTTTATTTAGTAGCACCGTGTTGTTTGTTGTAGCACTGTATTTGTTTCTGTTGTGGCACTGTATTTGTTTTGTTGTGGCACTGTGTTGTTTGTTGTGGCACTGTGTTGTTTGTTTGTGGCACTGTGTTGTTGTTTTGTTATGGCACTGTGTTGTTTTTGTTGTGGCACTGTATTTGTTGTAGCACTGTATGTTGTTTTGTTGTAGCACTGTGTTGTTTTGTTGTAGCACTGTGTTGTTTGTTGGCAGCACTGTATTTGTTTTGTTGTGGCACCTATGTTGTTTGTTGTGGCACTGTGTTGTTTATTGTGCTTCATGTTGTTTGTTGTAGCACCATGTTGTTTGTTGCGGCACCATGTTGTTTGTTGTGGCACTGTATTTATTTTGTTGTGCTTTTTGTTGTTGTTGTGCTTTCATGTTGTTTGTTGTGGCACTGTGTTGTTTGTTGTGGCACCATGTTGTTTGTTGTGGCACCATGTTGTTTCTGTTGTAGCCCAGCACTGTATTTGTTTTTGTTGTGGCACC